TTTTTTTTCACTGCAGCCAACCAGAGAATCCTGGCAGCATAAGCAGATAGGTTTCTGGCTATCTCTATATTCTCAAGTATTATCTTCAATCACACTTTATTATTCATAGAACACTTCTTTGGCTAGAGTAAGTATTTGGAACACAGCCAAAGAAGCAGGAAGTAAGGGGGGTGGGGGGAGCCTCTGAGTATCCAAAATAGACAGTATGGAGTTTACTTAAGATTGAAATACTTCACTTCTTCAAGAACTCCTTAGGCACCAAGCCAAAGCCTAGTGAAGGGAATCTATGGGGTTGCCTAGATCCTGGGAGACCCAAAATGGCGGGCAAGGCAGCAGCGAATGAAACATGAGAGCAGAAGAAGAGAGTCAGAAACTAGAAAGTAGACACAGAAGTTGAGAAAGTTTACCTCTTTGTGCATAATTTTAGGGCAAGGACAAACTCTTGACGCAGAAGTGGACTCCAAGATATTGCTGTATTGCAGGACGGGTTCTTCACCACCATAATGGCTGACTCACAGACAGAAATTCAGTCGTGATCACTAACTCCATTTGAATGCGCAGGGACACATTTTGGGAAGCTCTCATTCCCCAAAGACTAAAGTTGAGAATAAAATGTCAGCTCGTAAAGGGGAAGCTTCAGCTAAGCAGAGTTAATTAAATTATTAATTAATCTGTTCCTCTCCTGGTTTTAGGCTCCAGTCCTGACATTCGGAAGTTGTATAAAATCATAGGTATAAATATCGTTCTGAGTATTTTTAGCTAGTGGAGTTCTGTTAGCAGGCTTGCTTTCTGCATTCCATTATCAGTGATTAATTTCTGCTTTGTATTTTGCATAACTTTTTTTTTTTTCCGGAGGTTGGGATATTATTTTGGTTTCTTTTGTCTTTGGACATAAAAGCATTTCCTTGATGTATTCATAGGTTAGCATAATGAGATGATATGTGCTGATTTATCATGAATGACTAAATGGTATAGTATCTTTAGGGAAAAATGCTAACACTTAACAGTAATAGCTAACTTTGGTAGGTGCTTAGTTATATTAATCTCTTCATTTTCTGAACATGTACCCATATAAAAACAATGCTTACCTGTGATCTCAAGCTTGGAAAATATGTTAGGCAGGTAGGTGGTAAAATACCTTCCAAGCATGGACAGTTTGATTTAAAATGTGAAGAAAATGAAACACTGATGGCAAAATCAAAATTCCCTAAGGTTTTGTGGATCGTGCTTAAAGAATCTGGTCACAAAGCAAGAGTGATACCCATTGCGGGTCAGTGTAGACCATCCTTCAGATTAGCTTTCCAGTGTTAAGTGTGGACTAATGTCCTATGCAGGCAACAATTTCTGCTGTTTTCCTGAAGGTGGACTCCTTGTATAATAAAAAGATTCCTGTATAATAAAAACAACAATGGAATACCCAGGTCTGCATCCTCCTTTTGCTGTTCATTAGCTCTATAAGCTACCTCCAAATGACCAGAAATTAGTATTATGGATAAAAATGGAGAGGACGATGGTGACATAATAATAAAAATGATAATATTGCCTGCCCTTCCAACTTCACAAGCTTTTTGGGAGGATCAGAAAGGATGATAAAACGGAATATGCTTTGTGAACATTATGTGGTGTTATTAAGATGACAATCTTATTTTTACATGGCTTAAATCACTGTAAATGGTGTTCACGTGGTTTGGTTGGTGATTATCTTTGGTTGACTCTCTTCTGAATGGATTATTAGAATTTTATCTTCTCGAGGGGTTAGGTTATACCTTTGTAAACTTTGAGGACTGTTTTAATTCAGTTTTGTTGTTTGTGTATCTTTGGCTGGTTCTGGACCCGCATGTGACAGGTCTTGAATTTTTATCAGCCCATACTATTATGCTGCCTTTCCGGAAACAGGCTAGAATTTTTTCCATATCTTTTTGTCTGGCCTTTAATTTTAAACTAGTCATAGGGATGAGCCCTGGATCTTTTTAGTGAGTTCACAGTCTGAGCATGGCCCTGTAAGGGAGATTAAATGACTGACTTTGATTTCAAGACTCGTTTTACTGCAGACAGAAAACAGGCAAGACAGGGGCGCCTGGCTGGCCCAGTCGGTTAAGTGTCTGATTCTTGATCTCAGCTCAAGTTTTGATCTCAGGGTCATAAGTTCAAGTTCTGCACTGGGCTCCACGCTGGGTGTGGGGCTTACTTGAAAAAAAAAAACAACAAAAACCAAAAACCAAAAAACAAAAGAACAAAAAACAGGCAACACCCCATCACCTCATTTTTGAAGAGTAAATGTAATTCCTGCTCCATGGGGGTGAGAAGCCCATGTCTTATGTGTGGGTAGGCCTCCTGATAGAGAAATGCTTGGTTTTAAAGGACGGGAGGCGGCGTAGGGACAGAGCGCCGAGGTTCTGGAATCAGACGTAGTTTTGCTTAGCGTCCCTAAACCAACCATGATACTTCACTTTGTAAACTCAAGTTTTCTCATCTGTAAAATAGAGAGTATATAGTAACATGGGCTATTGAAACAATTTTTTGTAAAATTATAGCTAATATGTAATAATCACTATGATGAATTTACAGTTGACAAAGGAGGTGAACACAGATAAACAGGAAGGAAAAGAGAGTGACGTATCCAGGCAGAGCTCTTCTACGTCTTAGAATCAGAGCCCATCCTGCAGAAGCCTGTTTAATTGCTCTACAGTAGAACTCTTCCATTCGCTTGATACCGTACCATCTGCTAGTTCTTTTAGCATTAATTGTACCACCATATCAATAGAACAGAACTGTTAAGATTTGAGTTCTGTGACATTTTGTTCTCGAGATCTAAGCGTAGTTATCGCATTTTTAAGGGAATATTTTAAACTAGATTTGAGCTTGTTTTGTTGAGCAGAAGACCATCTCTAGAGGGCTACCCTTCTCTTTTCACATCTTGTCAATGTGAAGGCCATTTTTGGGAGTCTGGAGGGCATAGATCTGTTTGTAGAAGATTACGAGGGATCTGAGGACTTTAGTCAGGAGTACTATCCAAACTGGCCTACTTTTCCTTTCTGGGAGTTCCACATCTAAGTGCTGATTTTTTTTAAAAAATATTTATTTATTTATTTGAGAGAGAGAGAGAGAGAGAGAGAGAGCGCCTAAGTGTGGAGCGGAGGGGCAGAGGGAGAGGGAGAGAAAGTCCCAAGCGGACTCAGACTGAGTGTAGAGCTGGATGTAAGCCTCTATCTCACCACCTCGAGGTCATGACCTTGAGATCCAGACCTGAGCCGAAACCAAGAGAACCATGCTTAACCAGCTGCACCACCAGGCGACAGGATTTTCTTTTTTCTTTTTTTTTTTTTTTTTTTAAACAGTGCTTTCAAGCCCCTTCTGCCTTCAGACACCTCACTTCAGCTGTCATCCTGCTCAGGGTAAGAGGAAGGGTGCTTCCGTTCTGGTCGGTTTCCAGAACTGTGTGTCATCTAATGAGCCTGTCTAGCCTCGTTGATTGGCAGTCATATGCCTGTGCGAGTGTGAATGTGGGTTTGGTGAGAGTAGAGCAGAGATTGTCATCTGCTGTTGGTGGCCTCCCCATCTCCATGGGGACAGGGAGTGGGGGTAGGGACTTTTTTTTTTTTTTTTTTTTTTTTTTTTTTTGGCCCCCAGGTTGGGGCACATAGGTTGAGAAACTCAGGCCTGGGAAGCTTGTTGGTGATGGACTCCTCAGGAAGACAAGACTGGGGGTTGAGCTGTGGAGGGGAAGCTGTCACCAGTGTCTGGCAGGTCTGTAGGTGCATCTGAAGCTCGGGGCCACATGGATAACAATAGAAGGTCTGCCTGAATGTCACGGCCCAACTGTTTGGATTCTCCTTGGCTCAGCAACAACTCCCACATAAACTGTTGATGCAAAAGCTCCAGGCTTCATTTCCCCGTAAATCCTGGGGGTTCACATCAGCTCCCCTCCCTCTGGTTTTCTACCCATCAGCTCAGAGCCCTGCCTTCCTGAAAACTGTCTTCACCAGCTGGCTCACGGCAATTCCTGGGAAGAATCTTCAAGACTTTCATGACTCTCGAAACCCATTAATCAACCCAAACAGTTTTCCTAAGTGCCAGCGATACATTTTTTCTCCGTCTGGGGAGAGAGGAAGTGTCTCCCTTTTGAGAACCTGTGCACGAAATAATGTATCAGAATGCACATAATAGAAACACCGTTTCTTACAGAGGTCAAATAATTCTCTTTCCAAAGGGACGGGAGGGATTGATCTGCATTTGCTGGTGTGACCCAGAGCAGGGTGCAGGCAACTCTGTCTTGCGCTGAGGAACGTGAAACGAGGGAGTCTGGGTGCCTGGGCGCTGGCTAGCAGCCCGGGGGGCTCCTTGGGCTTCCAGGAGCGGGCGGGTTAACCCTCTGCAGCAAGGACTGCAGGGGAGAAACCTCGAAAGGAAAGCGCAGGAAATGCTAGCGGGCGCGGGAACAGGGAAGGGGGGCGCCGAGACTGCAGCCAGACCAAAACAGGGTGGGGCCCCGGGGGGCTCCCTGGGGAAAGGCGCCCGCCCGGGTGACCGGGTGGAGGTGGCCTCGCGGGGCGGAGAGGCAGGCCGGCGAGCTCGGGAGGAAGAAGGGGACCGGCACCTCCCGCCCCCGGGGCTGCCCGCCAGCAGCCGCAGGGCGAGGCCACGGCGCCCGCTGGCGTCGCTTTCGCTCTCCGGGTCGGCCGGGGTTCGGGCCGGGCTGGGCGGGCCGGGCGGCGCGGGGGGCCGGGCTCCGCTTCCCCACTTTTCCTCCCTCCCTCCCTCCTCCCGGGGCCGTCCCGGGCGGCCGAGCCAATGAGCGGCGAGAGGAGGAGGGCAGCGGGAAGCGGAGCGCGCGGGGCCGCGGCCCTCCTACCGCGCCCGCGGCCGCCGCGCCAGCGCCAAGTTTGCGCCCGGGGAGTTTGCGCGCGTCGCGGCCGCCGGCCTGGTCGCTCGGTCCCGGCGAGGGGGGCGGACGCGGGTGCCTGGGGCAGCCGCCCGCGAGCGCTCGGGCTGGAGGACGGCGAGCGGGGTGGCGCGGGCCGGGGCAGCCGCCTCCCGAAGATGCAGGATGGCAGCAGAGCCGCCGTCCAGCCTCTCCTACCGCACCACGGGCTCCACCTGCCTGCACCCGCTCAGCGAGCTCCTGGGCATCCCGCTGGACCAGGTAGCGGCGTGCGGCCTGGCCGCGGCGGGGGCGCGGGCGGGGGCGCAGGGACCCTCCTCCCGAGCCACTGCGGGCGTGCGGGCTGGGGGGACATTTTAGCCACAACGCGCCCCCCACCCCAAGCAGACTTTATAGCTACACACACTCGACAGGTGGCCTTTTTTCTGACAAGATGTTTTTGTCTTGTAAACGAGAAAAAATAGTATACCCTGCAAGACAGGTTCAAATGAACTTTTTTTTTTTTTTCCTTTTGAGGTTTTGGGTTGGCTCGTTTCCTGTAACCAAGTTCTAAATGTGATAAATGAATCAAATGTGGGGTTTTTTTTCCCCATCAGTGTCATGGAGTCCTTATTATTTTTAATTTAGATATCTCTACTTAAAAGATAAGCTTGATTAGTCTGTAAGCTCTTGGCCTGTTGGAACAGAGACTCGGGTTTTAGACTGGCAGTGAAACTTTTCAGCTCTGGGGGTGACAGTTACGTTGTACCATGTGCGGTGTCCATCGGAAAGGGAAGAGTTGCGCAAGGACAGTGGTTTTCCGAGGGGCTTTCCTCGACTCAGTGGGCTTATCCTTGAGGTCCCGGGCTCCTGAGTGAGTTCGGTTAGTGGGAGAAGAGAGGCACGTGGAAGTTGGTTGGACTGTCCAGGAATTGTCTGCTACTATTAGAATAGAAAACGGCAGTAATTCCTGGTAAGAAAGCTGCCTGAGGGTTGAGGCTGCCTTACTCATTTTCTTGTCTCTTTAGGTGCTGGAAGCTAGATCTACTTAGGTATTTCATAATGAGTCAGTAAACACACGTTGATTTAAATGGAATGGGGGGTGGGGCGGGCGGGCTGGCCCACTGCCTTGTTACTCGGTTTCATACTGAGTTTTGCTTCAGGTTTCTCCCTTTGCTTTTTACTAGTGATTTTTTTTTTTTTTTCCTTTCTTTCTTTTCCAAATGGGAGTATACCCTCCCGCTGCCCTCTCCACTCAACATTCCTTCTGCAAGGAGGAAGTGAGAGCTGGCTGTTTGCCTTAGTCAGATACTGTTTACTGAGCCACTCTTCTACCTGGCTCCCTCCAAGGATGCATGGGGAACTCCACCTGTCCCCAGCCGTTTGCCTGCCCCTCAGTTGCAAAATCCAGAAAGCTAACAAATTGGGAGAGGTATCAGATGCTAGCTGGTGCTTCTGTAAATTACTCTTCAATTTGTAGTGAGAAAGGGAGAGACCCAGGGACCTGGGGAAAAGCAAAGAGATACTAGCAAATTCTTTGTCTCTGAAACTACCCTAACTTCCAGCTGAATTCCCTTAAGGGGAGTGTGTTTTGTACTTAATCCCTCCAGCCCCATCCCCACCCCCCCATCAGAATTTATTTTAACTCCATTTTCTGTTTTAAGCTGTTTGGCACTGCTAGAAAGAGGAATCTAGGGAGGCTTTTTGTCTGGAAAGGAGTAGTTGGGGGAGATGCTGGGAGATGCTCTTAAGTGCTTTTAAACTGCATCTACCCCCTTCCCAGGTTCCTGGATTTCTGTCAAAGGAACCCTGTTTTTAATTTATAAGAAAAAGAATAAAAGAGCCTTAAGGATGTTTAAGTCTGGGAGAAAGGAATTTCTGGGAGAAACTGAAGGAGAAGTGTGGGTGATCCGCAGGAAGGAGCCGGGGCGATCTCTTTGATCTTCCCATGACCCCAGCAGCCTCCAGCAGGCTCCGGTCCGAGTGGCTCTCGGTGGAGAGAAGCACGTATAGGGCAATGCCCCAGATTGCTCATTTAAGGCCTGGGGAAAATCCCAAACCATAAATAATGCGGTTTGAGGCTAAATTGTGGCTTGGGAATTTGGAAGCTTGAAGTGTTTTTCTCCCTCACGCTTTCAAGGGCTTTTTAAGGTCTTCGATGTCTTAGACCTGCTCTGCCGGTAAACTTCTGTTGTGACTGCCTGCTGGTGTTGGACCTCTCAGAGCCCCACTGTCCTCAGGGCTAAAATCAGATCTACATATTGGAGGTGGGAAATTTTATGTAGATATAAAATACTCTACATCTGAAAGGTCCTTCATTCAGACAGGGTCCCAGCGGGCAGCAGAATTTAACTCAACGGTTTGCAATGAAGAAACTTAAATGAGCTACTTAGAGGGATATGGGCAGCATTCAGGGGAGGTTCAAGTACCTAAACCTGGAGACAAAGGGGAAAGGGACGGTGTCCCGTGGCCATCACCCTGTGAGAGCCACGTCGAGCCCTTGCTGGGATGCCAGTGGGAAGCAGAGCGAAAACCACAGCCCTACTCTTCATCCCACTGCCCTTATGTTTCTTGCCTGTTACCCACAGTGGTCAGACCCTGCCCAGGGGTGGCTGGCCGGGGGTGCCTGGGTAATGCGGTCTACAGGCTGCTCCACCTCTGGCCCAGAACTTGGAATAGAAAGGTAGAGCCAGATCTGGAGGACAGTCCAAGGACAATAGCACAATCCTTAATAAATGTTTGCTTCTGTCCCATTGGAGAGCGACTTGTTATTGGCCAGCAATGTGCTAAAAAGGATAAAACACGTACTTCTGGGTACCTAGTAGCTCTGGAAGAGCTATTATGTTATGTCACTGGAAGACACTGGATCTTGTCCCCTCATCTTAACATTTCAAGCTCATACTCATAATTTCTGAATTGAAGGCACTATCGAGAATGTCTTTGGCTTCTGGGTGTCTCCAAGTGGGGTAGCTCATTATTTGCAAAAACTGAACTGTCTGCTGAGCCTTCCACATGACCGAAGAACTCTTTTCTTATTTTTCATTTGCTCCTTCCATTTGTCTGTTCTGTGAGCTCCTGGGGAAAGCTTGTGTGGGATTGTGAGGAAGAGTCTATAGTTTTAGTTTCCAAGGACTTCACTGGTCTGACATCCTCCTAAAGATGTTACATGTAAAGTCTCCTCTTTAATTAGAAACAAGTAGAACACAGAATCCAGATGCAGAGGGAGGAAATGAATGATGGCATAGAAGCCCCCGCTGGTACTGTACAGATGAGTGTGTTGGAAGTTGCATTTCCAAAACTGCTGGTCTCTATCTAGCAAGTGTGGCGCTCTGGTTACTGGTAGGAGTATTCAGAGAGAAAGCTTCACTTACCAGGATAAATTAGATAAGAACTTTTTCTTTCCCTTTTAGAATGACTTAGGGAGTAAAGGATAAGTGTTTTGCCTTATTTTTCAAGTCATCTGCTCATGCCCTCTCGACTTGGTTGAGAAGCGTGTCATGATGTGCCTTTAACTAACCATAGCTTTCAAAATTTGCAAGACTGATTTAGCCACCGTGATGGATGGATGTTGTTGACCTTGTTAATTTGTGAGGTGTGTGGTCATATCCTAGGAGTTGTGAAAGCTGAGGAAGAAACCGTTTGCTGGCTTAAGGATTTTCCAGTTAAAATGGGAGGGGGGCGGGGAGCTCTGGATGTCAAGGCTGTTTGGACGCACAGGTACCCCAGACTTTTGTGTTCTTGCATGAAGTGTCAATTCAATTCATTGTTGAATTAGGATTCCTTGGGGAAAAATAGCCAGGACATAAGAACTCAGGAGATGATTTTGAGATTAAAGGAGCAAAAGTTTAGGGACACCTGGGTGACTCAGTTGGTTAAGCGTCTGCCTTCAGCTCTGGTCGTGATCCCAGGGTCCTGGGATCAAGTCCTGCTTCAGGCTCCTTGCTCAACGGGAGCCTGCTTCTCCCTCTCCCTCTGCTGCTCCCCCTGCTCATGCTCTCTCTCCTTCTCTCCCAAATAAATACATAAAATCTTTACCAACAAACAAACAAACAAAACCCAGCAAAGTTTTAGGACAATTAATGTAACTTGTGTTACAGTTTAAAAGGCTCAGTGAATGATGACCTGCTCTAAAGACCTGGCATTTCTTTACTAATGGTGAGACCAGTAGTGAGTTTTGATGATTCCACTGGGGCCTTTGACCACAAGGTTTCTTGCCTGGCCTGGAGCGTTTAGTCACCGGTTGGTTCCTTGTCCATTCTTGGAAAGCCCAAACGTCATGTCTCTTCTCACCTAAATCTTGCCCTAGGTTCAAAGTTCAGCTCACATTCCACACTCATTATTCAGTCAATTAAATATTTATCAAATACTCTTAGTGCCAAGTCCCTGGCCAGGTGGTAGAAATATGAGGATGAAAAAATCCAGGTCCCTGTGCCGGAAAAGCTTCTCTACCAATAGAGGAGACAAAAGACCTGTGTAAGTCACAAGGGCTTCGTACTCAGGAGCTCCTGCCGGAGGTGACAGAGGTTGGTAGATGGTGCCTGGTGGAACCCAGAAGGGAAAGCCAGCTGCAGGACATGCCGGATTCCTGTTGAATTTACTCTTTACCTCTGACACGCTCCACATTTGACCCTCAGTAAGCATTACCTTCTATTGTGACCCAGCTTGCTGTGTGTATATGCTGAATTTCCAACTCATTTAAAGACTCCTGGAGATAGAGATTTTATCCCTCCTTGTGTTCCAAGGAAGTAGTAGGTACTCAGTGAATATGTGCCATTGGTAACAGATGTGCCGGTGACAATGATTCGCCTTATCAAACTTCAGCACGTGGAAGCTTGTTTTTTTTTTTTTTTTTTTAAAGATTTTATTTATTTGATAGACAGAGATCACAAGTAGGCAGAGAGGCAGGCAGAGAGAGAGAGGAAGGGAAGCAGGCTCCCTGCTGAGCAGAGAGCCCGATGCGGGGCTCCATCCCAGGACCCTGGGATCATGACCTGAGCCGAAGGCAGAGGCTTAACCCACTGAGCCACCCAGGCGCCCCTGGAAGCTTGTTTTTAAAGCAGACAGCAGATTGACCTTTGTAGGGGGAAGAGTCCTTTGCCTACCCCACTCCTCCGTGGACGCTGCCTCCAGGTTGTACCCTTGGGTTTCTGACTTGAGCAATCTTCTCACCTTGGGGCTTTCCAGTCCATCCCAGCTCAGGATGGGTGTGGACATATGGCAGGCCATAGACCACCAGCCCTGCAGAAAGCTACTTCAGTTTTCTTTGGGCCTCAGTAGTTCCT